TAAAGCCAATTTTAAAACAAACCCTCAGTAAATCTACTTCTAAAAATGTATCCCAAGTAATTAATGGGTAGTGTATTGTAAGAGTCATGTATGTGGCTCTTCATCACAGTATTATTTAAAAGAACAAAAAACTGAAATAACTTAAATGTTCAATAATGAAGGGGCTGACAAATGAAATACTAGTAAATCTAAATTATAGAACACTGTGCATGAAATCAAAAAAATACTAAAGGAGGTCATGTAATCTTATAAAATATAATTAAGTTTTTAAAATCAGGTTACAAAATAGTATGTTAAACATGATTCCTTTTTTTTAATCTTTATTGTTGAAAGTATTACATGTCCCCTTCTTTCCCTCATTGACTCCCTCCAGCCTGCCCTCCCCCCACCCCAGGCCCTCACTGCCCCATTGTCTGTGTCCTTGGGCCACGCATATATGCACCATTAACTTATGATTCTTAAATTAATTCTGTCATTTCTCTATCTTCCCAGAGGTGTGGCATGCTGGTCTGGGCAGGGACTCCTGTCAGTCCCCTTGCTTCCCTCCCTGTATCCATTCTACCCAAGATGGACTTGAGATAGGTGAGTATGAGAAAAATATTTATTAGGCCACAGTCCTGGGCCCTGGTCTCATTCTTTATGCTATGGTTTTTTTCGTCCCTCTCTTCTGTGTCCATGTTGCTGTAGTAAGAAGAGATTAGGGCTCCCTTTGCTAGGTCACTGACCCTACTTTAAGGAAGCCTGAAGACCCTCTCTTTCCCCTGCTCAGCCTTCATGGGGTTTTCACTGGATTTTTCTTTCCTCGACTTTGATGGGTAAGATAGAGAGGGATAAGATTGAATGTAAGCCAGGTGAAAAAATAATAGGCAGGCCTAGGGCATAAAGTAAATGCAGGCACAGTGGCGTCCTCGGGCCTACCTGCTGTTTGGCTAAAATCCCTGTTAAGGACTTAAGAGGCTTCACTAGGGCCTGTAATGACAATGGGTTCTATGTGGAATATACCCCCTGCACATTTCCCTTGGGAGCCTGGCTCCACTGTAGGAAGTTTCAGAATCCCAGCATAATATCATCATTCAATACACCTACTGGGGAACCTGGGGAAAAGTAATGCCAGTATCCAAACCTCCCTCTGGAAGAGACCTCATCAGCTGGGCAAAAAGGCTGAGACATTTAACTCTGTACTCTGTAGAGGAGACCTGGCCTCACCTCTAAAAGTCCCAAAACTGAGCAAAAGGCACTTCGTGGTTGAATTTCAAAGCCTCCAGGCAAAAAATCCAGTAACTGTGCAGTTTACAATAGATATTGAGTAGCGTGCACTACACTGAGCCAATGAAACAACTGTGCAACTTTGTCAGGCCTACGCTGAGATGGAGCATCTTCATAGTGAGAGGGAGGCACATATCCCTTTGACCCATACGCTTAACAAACAGAGGCATCTGGACAACAATTACATGACTTGTATTTAGTAACTTCTCTATATATATGCTATTTGGGTTATAACAAATTAATTTTTTTAATGAATTAAAACCACTGAATTTTGACCTAGTTGGTATGGCTCAGTTGGTCCTATCCACCAAAAGGTAGTGGGTTCAATTCCCGGTCAGGGCACATACCCAGATTGCGGGTTCAATCCCTAATCTGGATACGTGTGGGAGGCAACCAATGTTTCTCTCTCACATCTCTCTCCCTCTCTCTCTCCCTCTCTACCCCCCCCCCTCCCACTCTCTAAAATCAATAAAAATTAAAAACACTGAATTTTACAAACTATTTTGGTTCAGCAACAAACACTAGCCATAAATAACTGTAGACAAATCTGATCTTTCAGGGACTGATAATCAGAGAAACTGAAATGCTTAAAATAACTGTTACCTGAAATGAATGCACAGTATAAGTTGGTGCTGAAAAAAAAAAAAAAAAGTAGGGGGGAGAGGGTACTGCTAATTTCAGCAAATAACTAAAATCAGTTCATGATTTGAAAAATATGTAGTCTTAATACTACTTGTTAAGGAAAGTGATTTAAACTGAGTGCAAAACTAAATTAAAGTAGTTGCATTTAATACTTAATCTAAATACTAAATGTATATTATACCTATGTAACATTGGACATATCACTTAACTTTCTACATCTCTTTTTCTTCATCTACAAACTAAGACAAATTAAGTTGTAGTTCTGAATTTATTTGTGATTACAGACTCCTATGAGAATCAATACAAGCTATAGCCCTTCCCCTCAGAAAGACACAAATACAAGCATACATACACAATTTTACCCACAACATCAAGGTGTTCACAGACTGCCCAGAGCCCAATAGTGGAGTCTAAGGGTCTACAGAATGCTCAGGTTAAGAATTCTTAAATTAGATTCATCTTAAATTTTACCTAAAAAAAAAAATATGATTCTAATATCAAACAAAATACTGTATCAAGATCTTAAAATAAACTTTAAAAATATTTCTAATGAGCCCAGCTGGCATGGCTCAGTGGTTGAGTGATGACCTATAAACCACAAGGTTCAATTCCCAGTCAGGGCACATGCCTGCATCCTCAGTGTGGGGTGTGCGGGAGGCAGCTGATCCATGATTCTCTCTCATCATTGATGTTTCTGTCTCTCCCTGTCCCTTCCTGTCTGAAATCAATAAAAATAGATTTTTTAAAAATATTTCTAGCCCTAGCCAGTTTGGCTCAGTGGATAGCATATCAGCCTGCAGAGCAAAGTGTCCCAGATTTGATTCCAGGCAAGGGCACGTACCTTGGTTGCAGGCTCCTCCCTGGCCCGGGCTCTGGTCAGGGCTTTTGCAGGAGGCAACCAATCGATGTGTTTCTCTCACATCGATGTTTTTTTCTGTCTTTCCCTCTCTCTTCCACTCTCCCTAAAAATCAATGAAAAAATATCCTCGGGTGAGGATTAACCAAAAAATAATAATATATACATATATATATGAAAGCAATTTACAGTACAGATAAGGATAAAGCAATTTACACGTACATCTATGCATCTGTACAATTTAGAGAGACAGACAAGAGTTCGTCGAACTGTAGGATACCACATTCCATGAAGATCTGCTGGAGAAATTGTGGACTGTGGTCTAGGAGTGAGAGATTCTGTTGAACCTAAAAACCCAAATGGAAAAGAAATCACATTACACTCACATGTAGATTTGTCTTATTTACACAGCAACTATAAACTGTTCTCATTAACTACCACTAGCTGGAGGCATCCACTTTCTCTAACCTCACCTTCAATCAAGAATGCCATAAGAATCCTAAAACAGTGACAGATAAGATTTAACACAGTATGTACATACTAGAGGACTGGTACATGGATTTGTGCACCAGTGAGGTCCCTCAGCCTGGCCTGCAGGGATTGGGCCAAAACCAGCCGGGTGCACAGATTCATCCAGGTTGTGTCCGGCCCATCTCGCTCAGTCCTGATCGGGGCCAATCAAGGCCGCGGAGGGACCACAGGAGGGCTCCAGGCTTGTATGGCCTGTCTCACCCAGTCCCGATTGGCTGGACCCCAGCAGCAAGCTAACCTCCCAGTCAAAGCGTCTGCCCCCTGGTGGTCAGTGTGCATCATAGCAACTGGTCGAACAGTTGAACAAATGGTCGGACACTTAGCATATTAGGCTTTTATTATATAGGATGTATGTATTCATGTGTGCTCTCACATACTCAACCTAACTGCTTTTCCCAAACTGTGATCAATAATCTTTATGGAGTAGGTGAACAATATACATGTTACAGAATACCGTGCAGTCATTAAAAAGGAGGCAGATCTATATATAGTCACATGGGAGCAAGTGGGAATTCATGGAGGTCAGGGAGTGACAAACAAACAAAGCAATGTTAAACAGGAATATTAGTCAAAGCTAGTTTGTCTGACACCTTGCCTTCCATGCTTTAAGCGGTATCATTTATAGACCTTCCCAACTCCAAAGATCTTCACTTCCATCCCTCATGACCTACCGCGCAGATTTTCTTGACTTTGTTTCAAAATTACTTTCTACAGACTTTCTTATTATATTCCAAACTACCTCACCTCTTAATTGTTAAATCTTAGAATCCTAATCTCTGACCACAACATCTTCGTGATTTTCTATTTTTCACCTGTTTACTCAAAATACACTGTCGACTCCTCCTCCTTTGGTTTCAATCACACCCTAGACCAGTGATGGCGAACCTATGACACGCGAACTCATTTTTTTGGTTGATTTTTCTTTGTTAAATGGCATTTAAATATATAAAATAAATATCAAAAATATAAGTCTTTGTTTTACTATGGTTGCAAATATCAAAAAATTTCTATATGTGACACGGCACCAGAGTTAAGTTAGAGTTTTTCAAAATGCTGACACGCCAAGCTCAAAAGGTTCGCCATCACTGCCCTAGACCTTTGCCTGCTTCTGACCTCTCTGGCTACTCTTTTTCAGTGAGCCCATAACATTCCTCTACCTCCATTTGCTCCTTAATGTCAGCATCTGCTGAGTCACCCTCCTCAGACCTGCTATTATTACTCTACTCTCTGTCCTGGGGTGATCAACTACCTCAATCTTTATCTCTAAACCAGTCACCCTCTTTATAGCTCTAGAGTAGCCTTTCCAACAGAAATATAATGTGAGCCATAAATGTGGCATTAAAATGCTAGGGGGAAAAAAAGTAAAAAGAAACAAGAGTAATTAATTTTAATACATTTTACTTAATCCAATATATCTAAAATATAATCATTGTAACATGTAATCAATGTAGAAATTACTAATAAGATATTTTCCATTCTTCATTTTATATTAAGTCTTTGAAATCTGGTGTGTATTTTATGCACTTGTCCACATACAGACTAGCCATATTTCACATATTCCATGCCAGGTGGCTACCATATTGGACAACACAGTCCTAGATCTATATAGCACAGATGCTCTGTGCTGCTCCATATGGACCTTACTCAATCTTCCTCAGCCTCACACCTAGAGTGTCGTCAAATTCTATTGATTCAAACCGCAACCATATCTTTTATCTATATACTTTTCTTCATCCCTCTGTCACACCCTGGTTCAAACTACCTTTCTTTCAAAAGAAACAACCTCCTAACCAGTCTCTACAGTTCTGCCAACAATACTTTATTATAAAGCCAGGTATCAGTTAAAGAATAGGCTTTTTTGGGGGAAGGGAAAATGTACAAGGCCAGCGTTGGTAAGACAAAAATGTATTCTAGTCTCTCCAATAACTCTTGAGGAGATTTACTAGGATTAAGGTGTATACTAGGACTAAGATATACACTAGCACCAAGATATATAATGGCACCAAGAGGTACACTAGGACATGGCATAGATTCTATTTCAGAGGACAAATTCCAACCCCCTGTGGGTCTCTCTTCCTAGCAAACATAATAAAATAGTTTGGGGCAGCGATCACCCACCGGTGGTCCGTGAGGTCCGAAAGGTTGGCGACCGCTGGTTTGGGGAATACCCAAGCTGCTCAGCAATCTGGATTTGGGGTGCCAACTGTTTATAGAGTTGACTCAGAATACTTAACACATTGCGGGCCAGTAGTTTTATTGCTAGCTTTACCCAGTGGCCAGATAAGTTTCTATTGAATGAGTACAAAAAAACATTTTACATAAATGTTAAAGGCACGCTTTAAAATTAAATACCCATTGCACTTTGAAGTTATTTATTACATGTTCTTACAAGCTAATATCTTTTTAAAGTATGATACTTTGTAAAACACTGTGTAATATGAAGCAAGAATTCTCATGATCCGTCCGCAATGTGTTCATAATGCCCTAAACCTGGGGATTTGGGAGCAGCTGGGGGTCTTTAAAGTCCATGAAGTTTCAGTGTCCCCCACTCACAGCCAGTACTATGGAGAGCTGAGCTTTAGTGTTACCTTTACATCTAGGGGTGGGGAGAAAGGATGCCTTACTTCCCGTCTAGCTTGTTGTCTAGGTAACTCATGAGTACCCAGGATTATTATTGGACAAGTTTGCTCCTTGTATAACCCAAGTCCAAGTTATCCCCTACATTTCCGTTACTTTTTTCTACCCCAGTCCCAGGCACTGACTTTCCAGAGCAGCCACAGTCTTCCAATCCCACATGCCACCCTCCATCCCATTCTATCTTAACCTTACTTCACCTGGCTTTCTCACACTCATCTTTATAAACACTACAGCTTTCAGACACCACACCTCTCACTGAACCAACCTTCCTGCACTCAAATTTCATCTCCCCTCATAATTTTTTTTCCCTTCATAATTTTGATGGTCCTCTTCCATGGTCCAAGAGTGCCCTGTGCATACCTTTAGCATGTCACCACTGAATTACTAGTATGTCTGTGGGTTGTCGATCTCTCCCCACTAAAGAGTGGGCTCCACAAAAGCACAAGCTGTTTTTCATGCCTGGGATATGACAAGTCCTCAATCAAAGTTTTTCAAATGAATACATAAAAGTTGGAAGTTAAAATATTATAACATACCAGATTTTCTCAGATTATTAGACTCTGTTTCTTCTAACCGAACATCTGAAAATGAAGCTTCTGAAGGTACCTTCTTCTGTTCATCTTTTAAACTCTGCGCAATTTCCTACATAGAGAAATCAGAAGAAACATTAAAGTGTAGTTTTCAGCTGCTTGGCAATATGAACATAACTATTTCTATAAAGTAAGAAATACTAATAAATACATGGACTAGTTAAGAGAACTACACCAAAACAAAACATGGAAAAAATTAAATTAGTATATAGAGTGTCTCTGTTCTCAAAAGCACATACATAGCCTTTTCTGAACCACTAATTTCAGAACTCTACAAGATACCCAGTAAGAGCTCAAATATACAAGATTCATATAAGAAACATAATTTTCAACTTTAAGTTCAGAAACAAAGTATTCAAATTTCAAATATCATAAAGAAAACAAGGAAGGGAGGGAGGAATGAGAAAGAGCATAGATCAGGCTGAGAAACATGCATACTCCTCACCATATCCACTTTGTGGCCTTAAGAATCAAGGTAACTCCTGCAAATGGACTATCCATCTGCTCCCTGGAATTACTATTAGCAATCCCCAGACACCAAAAGATAATTTCTACTACAAGCCTGCAGAATAATAAAAGCTGGACAAAAACCAAACAATCCCAATACCATATGAACTAACCTACCATATACCTGATCCCTATAGGGCTAATTTTACATACTATTTTTTTAAAGTAGTATATAAATAATTAAAATAACTACCCAAAATATTATAAATTTAAATAGAAGTCAGGAGAAAGAAAGTTTAGGAAACCATTATTAAACAATAAGTAACGGCATTAAACTAAATAGGCTGGCATGTGTCAAGCCTATTAGCTTTAAGACAAACATACCTATCACCACACACTTGTCAGGCTAGGCACTGAAACAGCTTAAGTTAAAATGCTGGTGAAAATTTGGAGCAACAGGAATGGGCTGGTGTATACACACATATATTTCTTTGCTGTGTCAGCTGAGAAGTCCCAGAACCACCAACACCCTATAGCAGGGGTGGGCAACCCCTGGCACGCGTGCCAAACATGGCACACCAGTAACTTTTGCTGGCACGCAAAACCCTCTCTTATAATCTTCCATTTACAATTTTTGTGAACATTTGAATGACTTTATTTTTCAGATAAATTCAGTGTAGGTGCATCTTAGATAAATAAATAATTTTACATAACAAGAAACTGGAAGTCTTTAAGAGGGATGTGGATGGTGAGAGATTTAGATATTTCCCAAACCTCAAGAGGCACATCAAAGACCTCCCAAAAGATGACAGAACAGACTGTCAAAGCCTTCAAAAGCTGTTTTTAAACATCATCGAGTCAACTATTGAGCAGTTCTTCTCAAGATTTGCGAAATTCAGAGAACTGGAAGAGACAGCAAAATTCATGAGGTTTCCAGACAGCATGAAACTGGAGGAACTAAACTTACAAATGTTTTCATGGATAGACATGGCTGACTTTGAAATGCAGTTGATTGAATTTCAGAGTAGCTCAATTTGGAAACAGAAATTTATTGACCTTAGAATTGACTTGAAAAACATTGAAAAAAAGTGATTAGAGACAGGAGTACCAGAGAGAAGTGTCGAAAACGAACTATTGAGGAATTGGAATGCCATTCCAGAAAACTTTTTCTGTTTAAAAAACTTTGCAACAGCATTACTCTCCATGTTTTCATCCACATACGCTTGTGAATCTTTGTTCTCAGTGATGAATTTTGTTAAATCTCATAATAGGAGTAGCCTGACGGATGAAAGTAGTAGCTCGTGCATATCTCTGAAGGTCACGAAATATAAACCTGATGTAAAATCTCTGTCATCAGTGATGCAGCAGCAAAAGTCCCACTGATAATATCAAATGGAGTCATAAAGTTTTCTGTCAGACTATCAGTGTACATGTATACATTAAAAAATAAATGTATTTTTCATCATCATATACTGTGTTTTTGTCGCTCAAATGAATTTTATTATTTCTTCAAGGTTCTTCACATACGTACACCTTAAGAGATATCAAGTAGGCGCAACATGTTCTCAAAAAAATTAGGGTTGGCACGCAGAAGAATTTTTAGTCAGAGATTTTGCTGATTTTGGCACGCACTCACAAAAAGGTTGCCCACCCCTGCCCTATAGCAACGACTACACTAAGCACCCAGATCATGGTTTCCAATACCATTCTCCAATAAAGGAAGTCAGGACTTTTTGAAGAAATGGCTGATTCTAGGGCTGAGGCAGGAAACAGTGAAGATGATCCTGGAGCACCTTGTAGTACCAGGAAATAAGAAAGTGCTCAAAAAAAAGAAAGAAAAGAAAAAAGAAACACTATATTGAAGGGATATGTCAAAGCAACATAGGAACCAACTAAAAGGGCTCCCGCTACAGCGATCAGACAAGACAACGAAATAAAAGGCATCCAAATTGAAAAAGAAGTAAAACTGTCCTTATTCGCAGATGACATGATACTATACATACAAAACCCCAAAGACTCCATCAAAAAACTACTAGACCTAATGAATGCAGCAATGTAACAGGATACAAAATTAACACCCAGAAAACTATGGCCTTTTTGTACACCAATAATGAACTCACAGAAAGAGAAACGAAAAAACAATCCCATTTACTATTGCACCAAAAAAATTAAGATACCATGGAATAAACTTAACTGAGGAGGTAAAAGACCTGTACTCAAAAAACTACAGAACATTAAAAAAAGAGACAAAGGAAGACATAAACAAATGGAAGAAAATACCATGTTCATGGATTGGTAGAATCAACATCATTAAAATGTCCATACTACCCAAAGCAATCTA